ACGAAAGTCAACTTTCTAATATTTGCTGGAGCAAATGAAATGGGCGTGGACGATAGGGGAAAGACGCCAGAGGACGATGGCCGTCTTCCGCCAGCTTCTACAGACACACTGTGCGTGTGCGAGCCGAACGGTTGCGCACTGTGCGTTCGTGCGCCACAACACTGTATCGTGGACATGCCGTTGCAAGTCTATAGGGAGGCCATGCGGCAAGTGCGGTCCACGTCCTCTGCACCAGAGTCGCCGCCGCCTTCCTATGAAGATGTGGCACCTGCGGTGGACTCCACACACGCACCGCCCCAATATGAACCTGTCGGGGAGCCGTCCTCGACACATGACCAACGTGTGTCACCGCCACCACCCCCTCCGCTACTGCCCATCATGCGCTTACGGCGCGTTAGCGACATCGAGTGGTAGGCTACAGAATAGTAAGTTTTGATTCATTTTTAAAGTGATTGTTAATTTATCATAACTTAATATAAATGATTTTCACGTCTCTCTTTGTTGCAGATGATTCTCACACACCTCGTGTTCACGTTTTTGTCTTTTAAATGTATTGCTTTTTGTTTTCAATTTTGTATTTGTACTAGAATAGCATAGAATTTTGTAAGTATTTTAATTTAAATGTGTGATTTACATTCTGATTTTTTCCTTTGTACGGTGAACTCCACCATTTTGTTAAGAAATAAAGGTCACGTTGAACAACAATTCTCTCTCTCTACCACCAGCATCCTCTCCTGGAGAAGCGTCCCGCGGTGGGGTCCTAACTTGCACGGCGGGAGGTGCGGTGGAGTGGGGGTGGTGGGAGTGGGGAGGGTGTGTGGGGGAGGAGTGGGCGTAGGCGGAGGGAGTGGGAGGTGGTGGGAGTGGGGAGGATGTGTGTGGGGGAGGGGTGGGCGGAGGGCTTTCAAAAATGGTCGGATAGGCTTGGGATCGAACCAGCGATGAGATGGGGAGTCGGCAGCGGTGGCTCTACCGCCTGAGCCACGGCGGCACGGTTGGCGAAGACAGAATACGAAAACAGATACATTATTATTATTATTATTAGCTGATCCGATGGAAGTTTTTCGTAATTGCTGTCTAGACGCATACAAACTTTGATCCAGCACATATGTTTACAGCACCCGGTTTAGCATATCAGGCTGCAATGAAAATGACAAAAATAAGTATTGAATTAATTACGGATATAGAGAGGCTTCAGTTTATTGAGAGATCTGTGAGAGGTGGTATTGTACACTGCGCTCTCAGACATGCTGAAGCGAACAATCCTTATCTAATTGACTTTGATACTACAAAACCTCATTCTTATCTCTTCTATTTAGATATTAATAATTTGTATGAGCACGCGATGCTATCAAAATTACCTGTTAGAGGGTTTAAATGGATTAATCCTTCAAGTGTAGACATTAATAATCTTCCA